TTTATAACCCTATAGAAGGACTAGGCTTTCAAAACCCAGGTAACTTAAAGAAAGTTAATTGAAAGCAATTTTATGACATAAGGTACATGAAGTTAGGGTTAGCCAATTTAATGTTCTTCACTAGTGTTTCTGAAATTAATGAGGAAGAAGAGGACTAAAGGAAGAATAGAGCTAATTAGCTAGTGTTTCTTCACTTGTCTGTGAAAGAACTGAGAGACTTTCTTCCGGAACATGAACGAGTATCATAAAGCTGAAATTAGTTTCAATTACACTGCACTTAATGAAAGCTATGCTACTAGACAAATTCCTCTGATGAATATTTTGCCCTCTTCCCTCCAGAAAATCAAATTGTGTCTAGTGAGGATGAAGCCTCCACATCTAAAGTTTCTGAACCATACATTCTAGAGATCATTAAGAAAATTGCTGATCTTCACACATCTCTGGAAACAGAAAGAAATGTTTTTAAAGAAGAAAGGGAAAACCTTTCAAATGAAATATCTTCTCTCAAAAAGAGCAGCCTCTCAACAAACACAACATCTACCTCCTCTCCTATTTCTAAAAGCAATTTTTCAAAACCTCCTAAACAAGCTTCTAAAGAAAAAAGGTTCATCCTCTTACTCTCATTTTGAAAAACTGAAAGGTAATGTTCTTAATAAACGACAAGATAAGAGGATGACCTAGATTTTCAAACAAACTCAAAAGGAGGCTGCAAGACTCAACATGTTTTCTGAAAAATCAAAATCTCTTTTTACTAAGTCTTGTAGTACTTTCAAGGATACTCGTTCATGTTCTGGAAGAAAGTCTCCCAGTTCTTTCACATACAAGTCTTCTAAGTCTTCTATTGATGATTCTACTCATGTGGAAACTCATTCTAGTGCTTCGGTTAATGAAACTAGACAGTCTTATACTTCGAGAAATCATTGTGATGTGAGTGATGAGAAATCTAAACAGAAGAGGTTTAAATCCTCTACCTATGATGTTTGTGATGATGTTCACCTGAAATATCCTCTCAAGGTTTATTCAGTCAAACATTTGAAGCGTCTATCAACGGATAAAATCTGTACTTCTCAAAATCATATCCCATCATTCACCTGCGCTGAAACTGTTATTGTTCAAATATGGATTCAAATATAGCTCTGCAAAATCTTCAAAAGAGACTAGTTTACGAACAAAAATAAAACAAATTTTTCACAATTTGTGTTATTCAAGAAAGGACAGACCCATCCTTAAATGGGTACCAAAGGTATCTTAATCCATTGCAGGTGTCCCTCGTGTGTGGTACCTGATATGTTTGCTCCACACACATGATGGGAAATTGAGCTGCTGATCAACAACCCCTTGGCTTCTGATTAAAACAGCTCAGAACCCGCACTACACTTGAGCTTCTGGATACATCAGTCCAAAACCCGATATCATAGAAATGCTTATCAACACTGCAATTCAAAACCCACAATCACAAGACGTATCATACGTCAAGGGGGAACAATGAATAAATCTTTTTCCGAGCTTACAATCAAGTTTAACAACAGATCCCAATGCACCTGTTCAAGACAAATCATTCTTTAAGGGGAGCAAACGTGCATGTTTTGAGAGGAAGTGTTTCTTTTTCACTTCTACTGGTGCCATACAATGAAGAAAGCACATACCAATCTACAATGACTCAAAAAGTGCGATTACAATACAGATCTACCCTACTCGACTTCTCATTCCCGAGTTCTCCAAACCTAAGCCTTACTCGAATTCTCAACGACCGAGATCCTCACCCGAGGTTACCAACGAAGTCCCTCAGCCTTGAAATCTCTCTTAACCCCCGAGTTTTATCACCTGAGATCATCACACGTGATTACTGCTGAGATCTACACCTGAAATCCCCTAAGCCTAAAGCCCCGGGATCTCACCTGACGTCCCCTTTCCGAAATCTTCCATATCCAAATTCCTTATACATGAGTTCCTCTTAGCCTATGTGACCTAAATTCAAGCCCATTTACCTATAGCCCCATTACCTTAGCCCAATAAACCAAAACTTAGCCATATACCCTTTAAACAAATACTTAAGTTCATTTAATCAAAACTGAGCCCAATTTATCTTAAACCCGAGCCCAAATACCCAATTAACCTAACTTTAACCCAATTAATCTTAATCTTAATATCTGTTTTATCTGTGCAGTACAGGTATACATGTCACTTATTTACGAGGAAGAGGTTTAGCCGAGAGAGAGTTGGATTGAAATCAAAGATAATAATTACCTACTGGACCCAGATGTGTTAAAATGCCATGACATGATCATGGTACCCATTATGAAAGAACACTCACTCTGGCCAGTTCTCAATCTGTCTGCAAAAGTTCCCAAAATATACTTAAGACAATTCCGGGGAACTCTGCACTCAGTAACCACCGCTCCCATTCCTACCTTTGAAGCCACCATAGCCAACTCCAACGTCCAAATTACCCATGATACCCTCAGAACCCTAATCCACATCCCCACATCTACGTAATATGACCCTTTTCCATTCAACCAAGATCTACTAGCTGATTTGCTCAAAATTGGTCATCTACCACCTCTCACCCTTTTCACCCACTTCATGGCTAATCGCTTACCAAATCCCTGGAGATAATCTTTGTTTGCCATTCTTAATAAATGCTTATCACTGAAACAATCATGCCACGATTGTTGCAATGTTCACATGTTTAAGCTGGTCCATGGCGTAATGTTTGCCGAGAATTATGACTGGCGCAACTTATCTGGTCTGAAATTCTTGAACAGATCAACAATAGAGGATCTGAGAATAAAGTTAAGTACACCCCATATGTATGGTGGTTCTCTATTATAATTGATCATTTCATGAAGGAAGACACCACCATACTAGAAAGACCTTCATCTGAGAACCACGAGATCCCAACGCTGTTGTACTTAAGGAAGTCTGAGAATGAACAAAATATGAAACCAATGCCAATTCCTAATGTTCTTCTCAACTTGGATGATCAAAACGACCCAATCATAGCTGAATACAAGGTACATATCTCTTCAGTTCTTACGACGCAGTCAACCCCAACTGTGTCTACCCAAAGAACTCAACCGAGTGGTAATAAGGGTAAAAGAGTTTTCAAACCAAAGAAGAGGGCATGTGAGACTCAATCTAAGATAGCTGATTCTACTCCTCTATTATTATTTCACAACCCCAGTCACTACTATATCCCAAACTCAACCCATAGGTACATGTTCTGTCGTCGTTAGTTCCCGAGTAGAAGTCGCCACATCGAGTTCAATGGCGCAAATTGAACCAAACCTTGACCGCTCAACTGTCTCCCAAAAGATGGTTGTTTCACCCACTCACGGGGAACCCATTTTATGCAGTGCACCGTCCCACGCTGTAAGCCCTTGCACGTTAGGTCAAATGTCCACCATTCTAAATGTTTTACAATTTTCTAGGGCACAACCTCTTACACTTTTTTATACTGGATCATTACCATCAGTCACAACAAGCAGAGGTTCGCCTATGATGGTTGGAAGTTCTGCCACACGTATCTCCCCAGCAGGCCATAACTCAACAATTTTTACTGAAGTTGTGATAACAGAATCTATGATTAGATCTGAATTTTCATCTCATGCATTTATTATTAAGGAGGATCTACAGTCTGAACTTGCAGCTTTTAGGTTATCTCTTATTAATGAACTACGACCTATAGACTCAACAGCCGTAGCAGACCAAAGATCACACCCCACTCCCACTACTCTTATAGGATATAATCTTTCCACCCTACCACTTACCACAACCTTAACCCTACCATCGACCATGCCAACCACACCCATTACCACCCAACCTAATCATATCCAAACCCTACCATCATCATCCACACCCAACCCTGCTAACCTTAACATCACCGACTTATCCGAATACTTCCTTGACCGCTTACTAAGCGAAACCAACCTACCACCCATCTCCTGCAAGTCCGCGAAATCCCATCCCTAACACCGTGATCAAGAATGCCAACCTAAGCGTAAGCATGATGACACCGATGATTCAGATCATCATGAGGGGGAGAAAAGGCCGCATACTGGTGAGCAATCATCCTTAGCTATAGTTCCTTGTCCATCAAGCTCTGAACCATCATCATCTCATCAGCCACCATCCTCACCTACCTCTGAAGCCCCATCCCAAGCTTTAACCATTTTCACACCATTTCCTTTACCATCGCCGTACATACATAAATAGTGTTAGGGCTGTGTGCCCTCACGAGAACTTTCATAGGCTCATCTACTATAGATGTAGTCTCGGGATTGGAAGGAAGTCCTGACGATGCAACATATGAAAAATCAAGGGAACAATGTGGTTTGGAAGGAGCAAAATCAAGATGCAGAACGAGTCGTCCATGTAGCGGCTAATATGGTGGCAAGCTAGAGGGAATCAAAAGGAGGGGCGAACCATGCAGCAAACACGATGGGGAGCACCGCATGAACAAAGTGGAAGAGACAAAAAACGGGGTTTGTGAAAATTAATGTTGATGGAGCGGTTAACCAAGTAGGGGTGATTGGAAGTTGGGGGTGGATTGCCAGGGACGAACATGTAGACTTTATCCAGGCTCAAGGTGTCTCACACAAGGCTGAATGGACGATAAGGAGACAAAAGCACTGGGAGTCCGTGACGCCATTCAGGGGGCGATAGAGGCAAGATGGCAAAGTGTGGAGATTGAGACAAATGAGCTTACGGTGGTTCAAGGTTTGAAACAGGCGGCGGGTTCGTCATATTTATATCTAGTTTTGGATGATATTAGGAAGATTTTAGAAACAAAGAGTAATTTTGAAATATCTTTTTGTAAAAGATCTACGAATCATGCGACTCATGTGACTATTCCAGATTAATTTTAAGTTTATTCTCGGTTGTATTTCGAGCCAGGTGACTCACAATTTATTGATTTCATATATGATTCGGTTTGACTATAAAAAATGTAAACGAAACACAGAAACTAGCATTTGAAATTTATTTCACAAAGAACCTCAATAACATTGAGATTTTGAAAACTTTAGGCAAAAAAAAAGTGCGGCTGCATCCGTGCTTCCTTGCAGTCGACACGAGTTAGCTTAAGTCATATGGGGTGCGCATTTTTACTGCAGACTATGCAAGTTCATGGAGTGGTTCGCTGAAACAACTGCTCCGCAATAAACCTATTAACTGGCGCTGACAAATGTGATTCAATTACGATTACAATGTCAACTAAACCATGCAATCTTCCTATCGATGTCGTTGAGATTGATAGCAGCGATGACGAAGGCGGCGGTGACACCCATGCCGCCGGAAAGAGGGGAAACCAGGATGTAGTGTCTACCGCCACAAATCCTCAGGGCAAACCACATGGTATTCATGATGCCAGATTGGGCGCTCCTCCTCCTCCGAATAATCGTCCACCAGACTCGAGGAGTTTCTGGAAGGCCGGGAATATCGAAATCGCCCCCGCTAAATCAGTAGCTATAGAAGGTCTGTTCATCCTTTGCCCCCCCCCCCCCCCCCCCCGCCACTTCAATTTTTCACTAACATTTTTGCATTTCTTTACTTCTTAATATCGAAACATATACTACGTATGTGTCAATGGGCCACAATTAGTTTTTGTTATCTCCTAGAATTAATTAGTAGCCTCAAGGACCTCAACGTTCTAGTAATTATTGTTACTAGACAACATACAGTAGAAGGGATAAGTTCTGGGGATCTGTGAACAAGAACTTGATTGGATTGGGACTGAAAGTCTTATCTCTTATAAAGAAAGGAAGGATACAGCAGTATATATAGAAGACAGAAACCCTATGAGAGAAACCCTAAAGGCCCATGAGCTTATTGGGCCTAAGCTAATAAATACAATACACTATTTACATTCTAACACTCCCTCTCAAGCTGGAGCATAGATGTTAATCATGCCCAACTTGTTACAAATAAAAGAGATCCGTGAACTAGGTAAAGCTTTGGTAAAGACGTCAAGTAATTGATTTTCTGATCGAACAAAGGGAGTCGAGATGGTTCCATCTTCCAACTTTTCACGAGTGAAATGGCAGTCTACCTCGATGTGTTTCGTTCTTTCATGAAACACGGGATTGTTTGCAATGTGGATAGTCGCCTTATTATCACAATACAGTTTCATTGGTTTTGATTGAACAAACCCGATGTCACCTAGCAGATTACGTAACCATACCAGCTCACAATTGGCCTGAGCCATGGCCCTGTATTCAGATTCAGCGCTTGAACGGGAAACGACATTTTGTTTATTGCTTTTCCACGAAACCAGATTTCCTCCAACAAACACACAATAGCCAGTATTAGACCGCCTAGTTGTAGGGTCCCCATTGTAGTCAACATTTGTGAACCCTTATATGATGTGATGGCCGTGGTTTCTGTATAAAATGCCATGATCAGGAGCACCCTTTAAGTACTTTAGTATATCACTAACAGCCTCCCAGTGTGATGTTCTTGGAGATGATAAAAACTGACTTACAACACTTACTGGAAAAGCAATATCATGACGCGTAATTGTCAAGTAGTTTAGCTTTCCCACTATTCTTCTATACTTTTCTGGATTCTTAAGTAGATCTCCATCATCGGCTCTCAATTTCATATTTGGAGTCATTGGGGCCTCACAAGGCTTTGTTCCAATCATCCCATAGTCATTCAAGATATCCAAACAGTATTTCCTTTGAGACAGATAGACCCCTTTCTGAGTACGGAATACCTCAATTCCTAAGAAGTATTTTAAAAGACCTAGGTCCTCTGTTTGAAACCGAGATGCAAGGAAATCTTTAAGCTTTTCGATCCCAGTTACATCATTTCCAGTAGATGATGAAGTAAAAAACATAGAATGATCGTGAGAGCTCCTCTGTAAGCCAAACTCGGTCACTACGGCATTAAACCGTCCAAACCAAGCACGAGGGGACTGCTTTAAACCATACAATGATTTACGCAATTTACATACTCTACCAGACTCCCCCTGAGCAAGAAAGCATTTTTCACATCCAGTTGGTGTAGTGGCCAGTTGTAAGTAGTGGCTAATGAAATAAACAGGCGGATGGAAGATACCTTAGCCACAGGAGAAAATGTCTCACAGTAATCAACCCCGAAAGTCTGAGCATACCCTTTGGCAACCAACCGGGCTTTGAGACGAGCCACAGAGCCATCTGGGTTAACCTTCACTGTGAACACCCATTTGTAACCAATTGCCTTTTTACCCGCAGGTAACTCTACTAAATCCCATGTACTATTATGATTAAGAGCATTAATCTCATCAATCATAGCATCCCTCCATCCAGAATGGGCCAAAGCTTCACCAACCGTTTTAGGGACAGATAATGAGTCAAGTGTAGACAGCAAAGAACGAGAACATGAAGACAGTTTATCATAGGAAACAAAAGAAGCAATAGGGTAAGTACATGAACACTTACTTTTTCGAAAAGCAATGAGAACATTAAGGTCAGGATGTTGTGTATCAAAAGGTGGTGATTCACTCAAAGTAATAGGATCATCATTAGGCTGATCTGCAGACGAAGACAAAGATGGTAGCGGGTCGGGATCTGATGTAGGGCGTTGTCGTCTCGTATATACATGAACAATCGGTGGCTTAGTAGGCTCTTGATACTGTGGTGTGGGAGACTCTGGAACGGGTATGGCATAAACCAACAGATCATCACAATCTCTTGGGTTACATGGTGTGGACACTGGAAAGAAGGGTATATTCTCATGGAATGTAACGTCTCGAGATACAATATATCGATTAAGTGTGGGTGAAAAACACTTATACCCTTTTTGAAGACATGAGTAACCAAGAAAGATACATTTCAAAGACTTTGGATCCAGATTAGTTATGTGTGGCCGAGTATCACGGACAAAACAGGTACTGCCAAAAACTTTGGGGTTGACAGGGAACAATGATTTTGTAGGAAATAGGACAGAGAAAGGGCTTTTACCATTTAAAACAACAGAGGGCATTCGGAGGGCATTCGGTTGATAAGAAAACAAGCAGTAGCAAGTGCATCGACCCAAAAAAGCTTAGGAACATTCATGTGAAATAAAAGGGCCCGACCCACTTCCAAAAGATGGCGATTCTTCCGTTCTGCAATCCCATATTGGGCCGGTTTATCGACACATGAAGACTCATGAAGAATACCATTTTGAAACATATATGACTGAAATGTTTGAGACAAATATTCTTTTGCATTATCACTTCGAAGCGTTTGGATGGAGACATTAAACTATGTTTTAATTTCAGCATATAAGGAACAAAAATGTGTAAATACCTCAGATCGATTTTTCATAAAGTAAAGCCATGTGGCGCGAGAATAATCATCAACGAAAGTAACGAAATATTTAAACCCAAGTTTTGAAGTCACAGGACATTGTCCCCAAACATCTGAATGGACTAGCTCAAAGCTAGGAAGCACGGAAACGCCGATCTCCTTCCAGTTTCCGTACCGGAAACGTTTCAGAAACGGGAAACGCCTGGAAACGGCAGGAAACGCCGGGGAAACGTAGGGAAACATTTCTGGGCTATTGGGCTTTTGGGACGGGTTGGGGAAACGTTTCCGAAACGTTTTTTTAATTCAATCGACGCGTTTCTGACTTTATGAATCGTAAACCTTCGTCCATTTTGCCGCACTCTATCCCCAAACGAAGGTCGTCACAATCCTTCGGTGCGACTCCTCAATCCCCACTCGAAAACGAAGGCTTGAAGAGTTGTGAGTCCCTGTCACCAGTCGACTGGAAGTCTGGAACAACAAAGTCAGACCGTCTGCGTCGGACTCTGACTGGAGGAGTTGAAGACGCCGGCGACAAACCTAAACGCTAGACACAGGGGCTGGTATTGGACTGGAAGAGTATAACTGTCTATTCTTTAGTGCTTATTTTTGAGGCGGTGAGCTTTAATTTATTTGCTGCCACAGACCCACAGTATTAAATTGCTGCCACAGTAACTTCATCTTGAAATATGGAACATTTACTGTTGTCATTTTATTTTATGCATGTAGAATGGATTCTAACAAGGGATATGTTTGATTTATTTATTTCTATTTCTTGGACATAAACATGACCTATATTAGTAAAATTTTAATTTTTAGTTCGACGTTTCCTTGCCGTACCCGTATCTTAATATTTTGAGTTTAGAGTTTCCCCGTCCCCGTTTCCGTCCCCGTTTCCGTTTCCGTCTCGGTGCTACTTAGACTCAAAGGCGGATGATGCCCGCTTATTACAGACTCTCGGACTTAAATGAACTCGTTGGTGTTTAGCAAAGTGACACGACTCACACTGTAAAAAAGGTAAATAAGAAAACTCAGGACACAACTTCTTCAAATTCTGTAAGGACGGATGACCTAATCGACAATGAACTTCAAATGGAGACGCTGAACTGGAGCCAGTCAAGGAGTAAGGTGTTTGAGGTTCAAATATGTATAGGCCTTAGGCCATCAGATTCCTGCCCTCTACTAATAATCTTCTTCGTCGACAGATCCTGAAAAACACAGTAATCAGGAAAGAATAAGACAACAATTTAAGGCACGAGTAATTTTGCTGACAGATAACAAGTTGAACGAGAAATTAGGTAGGCTCAGACAGCGAAACAGCTGGGGTAAGATCAATGGTGCCAGAACCAAGGACAAGTGGGGTGGACCCATCAGCAATAGTGACATGAGATGAAGGTGTATGCCTATTGAAATTTGAAAAGAGGGTAGGGTTACCTGTCATGTGATCCAAAGCGCCTGAATCAATGACCCCTTTGGTGGCAGAAGATATGAGGCATTTACTAGAGTTACCTGATTCAGCAAATGCAGCAGTCGGAACAGTAGAACTTTCGGTCCTTAAAAATCGAGCATATTCTTCTGCAGGAATAGTAACCATGTTGTCTGGGGCAGAAGCAAAGTGGGCAGATGAGCTTTTCTGATTCTTAGCCAAAAGCTGCTTACACGTGCGTTTGGTATGACCGAACTCATGGCAGTAGTAACACTCCATCTCACCAGAATCTGGAACTGTGGCTCGTGATTCAGAGGTCCTGCCTCTGTGACCACCTCTAAAGCCCCCTCTATGACCCCTATGGTCCCCCCCACGAAAGCTACCATGGTATCCTCCTCTACTGACCAGAGCACTGTTGTGATCAAAAGTTTGGGAGGGTTGAATATTTTCATTCCGAAGGACACGAGCAAATGTATCCTGAAGGGAAGAAATGGTAGATTCATTCAAGAATTGGGATCTGATGGAGTCAAATTCTTGTCGCAAACCAGTCATGAAACTGATAACAGCCACTTGTTCCCTTTGAGCCTGCATAGCTTTTACATCGGCACTTATTGGAAGCAGAGAGTTAAGCTCCTCATATATTTTCTTGAACTCCATGACATAAGTAAGGAGTGACCGATCTTGCTGTTCCCCGCGATGAAAGGACTTACAAACACTATAGATTCGAGAGATGTTACTTTGCCCAGAATACAGGAAATCAAGATAGACCATGAGTTCCTTCACATACTCACAGTGACCAACCAGAGAGGAGACAGAAGGTTCTATGGTATTAATAATTTGCAAATACAAACGAGCATCACTTTGTAACCATGAATCAGATTCATCACCTGAGAGGCCATTCCCATGCTCCGAAGATAGATACGGATGGTTTTGCTCCACTCAAAGAAGTTAGAGCCATTCCGCTTGTTATCAGTGAGTTTAGTGAGTTTAGCAATTACTGGAAGCATCTCTGTTACACGTGGACCACTGTTGTTGGCAGATGCTTTATCAGATGCCTTTTGTTCTCCAGCCATCTTAAAAGATCACAAACTAAGAAGAGAGATGGGGAAGCAGAAAGAAAGCAGCACTCACAGGGTGCTCTGCTAACTAAGAAGAAAGATAGGGAACCAGAAAGAAAGCAGCACTCACAGGGTGCTCTGATCGATGAACAATGTCAGGATTTTTTTCTCTCTCTACGGAAGTTCTCAAAACCCTAACCCTTGCTCTGATACCATGTGAACAAGAACTTGATTGGGACTGAAAGTCTTATCTCTTATAAAGAAAGGAAGGATACAGCAGTATATATAGAAGACAGAAACCCTATGAGAGAAACCCTAAAGGCCCATGAGCTTATTGGGCCTAAGCTAATAAATACAATACACTATTTACATTCTAACAGGATCCACCCTTCATTTTTTAAATCAATAACCCATTCTCTGCGGGTAAGTTTCAGGTGACCTGGAACATGCACGTGTACATCCGAAGTTCTTACATTCGAATGCCACTTCTCACAAATGGGCGTTTGGAGGTGAATTGTGTGTCCAGTTTAAGATACTTGTAGCAATTTTACTTCAATCTGTACATATACTGACAGGTCAATCATGTTGTCAATGCAGCAATTGCTGAACTCTTGGATAATGCTGTAGATGAGGTAGTCACCATTACATGTTTGTTTTGTCGGTTCACTTGCACAAAGTTAGCTGCTACATTTGTCTTATGCCATAATTTGCAAATTGCATACATCTGTATTTAGAATTTTCATCAAGTCTACCTAGTGACTTAATTGTTAGGAATCACCCATTCTTGCTTTTGTTTTTCCAGTTTTGCGCTCACCTTCACATGCTTTGTACTTTTGCAGGGTCCTATACTGAACGTGAATCTTATTAAAAATGAACCAACAAAATAAATATTTTCCCCTTGATTTTTATTGTTCAATTTCTAAGACGCTAAGTCAATAATTTTTTATTTCAATCTGCAAATCAACTGCTTTGTGGTATCAAAGATTTTACCATGCTGACCATTAGACCTTGAATTAGGTTACTGTTGAAATTTAGAGGCACAACACGTTAAAGTCCCCCAGATCTTAACACAACATGCCCCCCCCTCCCAAAGTTATTTTGTCTCATGGAGCTAATTTCAGACGTAAATGGATTCAGGTTTCTCAAAATATCTTACCAACTAATCACAGGATGTGATCACTGATCAGTTAACATGCAATTACACTACACAGTTCTTTTTCATTGAGAATTGTATTAAAGGAATCATTTAATACTTTGCTGAGAAATTAAACGTTTCTGAGAGTTGTATTAAATGAAACCATTTGCTACTTTGCATTTGAATAGAACGTTTGGCGTATGTATATGACATAATATATCTGGTTATATCTTTTCATATGTTTGCTATTGCACAAAAGTATTTCCTTAGTAGTTCCGCGTTCTTTGTTTTACTACTTTCCTTAACATACATGGAAAAAGACACAAATAGCTGTATGTGTAACTGAAAAACTAGCAATGCTATTTGTATATATCATTTATGCTGACAGGTTGAGCAGTAGATGTGTTTTGGCATCTGCTTTCAGTTAGGCTCACTTGGTTGTCTTTACTCGACGCCAGATAAACAATGGTGCGACTTTCGTGAAGGTTGATAGGATATGTAACGTGAAGGACAACTCTCCTGCCTTACTATTTCTAGGTGTGGTTCTTTTCTCCTGCCTTACTTCCATCATTTGCAATGGAGCCAAAGACTCACTATTTTTTGGCTTGGGAATATGATGGAATAAAGCAAAACGACTCACTAAACTGTCCGCGCTTTTTTTTCCATGTAATGTTTTACGCGATTTTCACTATGGGTCATCCGGAAACAGTCTCTTTGTGCTTTAGTACAGGGGTAAGACTGCGTACATCCGACCCCCATTACCCCACCGAAGGTGGGAGCCTTTGCGGCACTGGGGTAGTGATGATATGACTTTTAACTTAGTAAGCAAATCATCAGTCATTTTTCTGACCATCAAATCTTTGAATCTTTAAATAGATGATGGTGGCGGAATGGATCCGGGACGTCTTCGGAAATGCATGAGTTTGGGCTACTCATCAAAGACGAGCAACACAACAATTGGGCAATGTAAGTAAATAGTTATATGTTTTCTTTTATTTGCACTGCGGAGGGTCGTAAAGACTATCCATCCTTTTAGCGTCGGTGCATTAACTTTTAAGGCTAGAACAATTTTCTATTCATTATACACCTCCCTTTCATAGATGGTAATGGGTTCAAGACTAGTACCATGAGATTAGGTGCTGATGCAATTGTCTTTACACGGTCATCTCACGCAGGGTATTCTTCTCTATTCAATTCTATTTTCATGCAAGCTTTGTCACATTTTTTGCCATATAAATTGATCTTAGCCTCAAAATCCCCGAAGCTTTACTGCTGTTACATTTTATCTCACTCTGCATTTGTTGTAATATTACTGTATGCTTGAGCATTGGGAAGATGGATTCAGCCTTCATGAAAGAGAAATGTGGTGCCTCGTACTCCTGTTTAGCTTATTCCTTGGTGAAAATAGTAGTATGATATGTGTTTGAAGTTTCATTACATGAAACCTTTAATGCTATTGCCTATTAAAGTACTTGAAAGTGGAGTAGACTAAATAGTGTTTCTAAGAACTTGTTAATGCCTAATGGATACTATGACTGGCAATTCTGCCCATTAAGCTTAATTTTCTGCATGCAAGGTGTGCTACTTATTTTTGTCTTATGTTTGACATCATCTACAAATTTTCACCTTTAGCCGAGCAACCCAAAGTGTCGGCCTTCTATCCTACACATTTCTCTGCAAAACAGGACAGAATGATGTCATTGTTCCAATGGTAAAACCTGTTATTTCTCAGTGCTAAACTTTTGCATATCAATATCGTTATGAATTGAACACGACATCATTTCTCAACGTCATTAAAGTTCTGTTTCAGATTGATTTTGATATCTCCGGGCACTGGGCAGAGCCAATTATTAATACATCCCAGGTTGATTGGTCCACAAACTTGAAAACCATCCTTGAATGGTCTCCATTTGTGTCAAAGGATGACCTTATGCAACAGGTTGTTTGATAATAGGAAATTTGGTGTTACTTTATTTGACATTGTGACACTCTTAATACTTTTTAGAACAATAACTCTGCAATTTTTGCCAGGTGATACTTGTAGTGAAATGCAAAAAACAATTTTACTTGGTCAAGAGCACCTTAATACATGTTTTGTCATGCTTGATACTCATGAAGAAAATGCTATCATACTTGGATTTTGAGAAATAAGTATTTGTTAAAATGCTTTTGTACTATCAACTATGTTATTTCATCTAAGTGCTTTTGATATTACCTCTGAATTATTCTATACTCTAGTATAAGAGTACAAAACGACTTTGCAGCTACCAACTGGATGCAATCTTAGTAGCTTTGACTTCAGTGTCTTATATACTGACAGCTAGCACTCTAGATCCCTGGTTGACCTATCTAGGAAACTGGTTCATGCTTGTGATGTTAATACCTGTTACTAAGAGAACTTATGATACCTCTGCTGCATAGCCTTACTATTTTTAAACTTTAGGTATATCTTTTCCCTATAAATTGGCATGTATTTTCCTACACGCCACTATTGGCTAATTAAGAGTAATTTCCCAAAATCTACATCATTATTTTATTTGATATCCATTTGGAACAGTTTGAAGATATTGGCTCTCATGGAACTAAGGTCATAATATACAATCTATGGCTGAACGATGAAGGAATTTATGAATTGAATTTTGATGATGATGATGAGGTATGTTATTTCTGTATGATAATGTATGGATTTTACTTTTTTTATTTTGTTTAAGATGTATCCTTAATGACGAGCCAAAGGCTTTTGATTTTATTACTTTCTTTCCTAGCTGTGGAGTTGGTTTCTTGGTGGGCTCTTAAAACTTCTACCCTCAACATCGACTAGTTTAACTCTTTCTATGTAGCTGCTATACAAACTCTTTGTATATAGTTGCCAAAAGAATAACTCGTTCTATGTGGAATTGCGGATTTTGAACTTCACATTTTTATGATATTGTTTTTGTTAACTGTTAAGGTTTAAATGTTTAATTAATGTAATTATTGAACACTAATAGTGAAGGTAAGTAATAAGGCTTGAAATATATCCGGAACCCATTCTAATAAGGTCCCCAATTCACACCCTAATTTCTTTATTAGCTATCTGATAGGTAACATAACAATCACAGTAGGAATTGATGAAGATTTAATGAATAGAAGATAGAAAATAACGAGAGAAGAAAGGTGAGACTGTTAGAGTGGTCTCACACTCCCAAAATCCCAGTCCCGATCCCAAAAAATACAGCCTTCCCATCTACTCACCGCTCGCTCTTATTTATTCTATTTCTAATGGACCAGCCCACTTTTATTTAGCTATAGGGCCTAAATCCCTTTTATTGTACAATATTAAAAGACTTAATATTCTTATTCTAGTATTGTTTAGGTCTCTATCATCACTCCCCCCTTGAACTACCACCTTGCCCTCAAGGTGGGTAGTAAGAAACTAATCTGGCATTTGGTTTCAGCGGTTTTTCAGCTTCATCCAGTTCATATAGCTGATCTTCTGTTCCCTTCTTTTCTTCTGGCTCTTCAATCAAGACAAATTGATAATGTTTCATTCCACAAGCATGTTCTTTGCTCCATTTGTTTCCACATTTGAAACGTAAGCCCTTTTTACTTCTTTCTTCTTACTCTGCTTGTGTCAACCTTTGGCCTTCCTCCCATGTCTTCTTCGGTTTTGGCGATTCCTCCAGCTTGTTCTGTGAATGTGTTCTCTCAGTAGTCTGCTTGTTCTCTGAATGTGTTCCCTCAGAAGTTCGTGACTGAATATGAGGTGTTCTTCCCTTAACTGCTTCCACCCAGTTCAAATGCCTGAACATAGTCCCCCCTGTTCTTTCCAGCACCTTTTGTCCTCTTCCTTATGTATCCCTGATCTCATAGCAGTGTTTTTCTCTTCCATCAGCAGAGCTCTATTCATTAATTCAGATAGACAAGCGGATGGATACAGTTTCAGCTCAGCTCTCACATCCTCTTTTAGTCCGTTGATGAAAATTCCTTTCAGCATCTCCACATCGGTGTTCCTCATGGGTGCAACCACCAATTCAAACTGTTCGCGATACTCCATGACTCTTCCCGTCGGTTTGATACTCAACATGGGACCGAAAGGGTTCTGTACGAGTTCTGGTTGGAAACGACGGATCAAAGCAGCTTTGAAGCATTCCCAACTGCGTTCTTTGGTTTGCCCTTCCCACCACTGGAACCAGTTGAGGGCTTTCTCTTCAGTAGCTATCATCACCACTGATACTCTGTCTCCCTCCTCAATCTGGTTAAGTTTGAAGAAGCGTTCCACCCTGATGATCCAGCCGTGAGCATCTGTACCCTTAAATAATGGTAAATCGATTTTCTGTCCCGCTCGAATCATTCCCCGGTCACCCTGTGTCTCACACCGATCAAGACCAGAGTGATGACTACCTGAATTGCTCCTGGAAGAGAATGACGCCTGGCTCCTCGTCGCACTCCTCCGCCTTGGAGTTTGTGATCTACCTCTGGTCCGCCTGCGTCCACTCTGGCTTATGAAGTTCATCATCGCTTCACACATCTTGTTCTCCGAACATTCCAGATTGTCGATTCGACTCTCCATATGCGATCTAGTGACGGGTATCTACAGTCCTGCGATCGTTTGCTCTGATACCAATGATAGGTAGTAACAATCACAGTAGGAATTGATGAAGATTTAATGAATGGAAGACAGAAAATAACGAGAGAAGAAAGGTGACTCTTAGAGTGGTCTCGCACTCCCAAAATCCCAGTCCCAATCCCAAAAAAAATACTGCCTTCCCATCTACTCACCGCTCACCCTTATTTATTCTATTTCTAATGGGCCAGCCGACTTTTATTTAGGTATAGGGCCTAAATCCCTTTTATTGTACAATATCAAAAGACTTAATAGTATTCTTATTCTAGTATTGTTTAGGTCTCTATTACTATCCTTGTTTGCTACCATTGCTGCCCTGCAGAACCGTCCTTATCCACAAGTCTTGAAGTAATAAATCTGATTATCGAATGGGTGGCAGAAAGCTGTTTGTACTTTGTAGTCTCCAGGACGTGTAGCCCTTCGTGGGATCCATCCTATTCATCTTCTGCCACGATTAGAAATTACACAGATTTGTTGGGGGAAGTTATGCACAGGGATGTAGGGTTCTATGAGAGCAAATGCCTTTTGCTCTCATATCCACATACTCTTGATGTGAAATTTGATGTGCATTCCTTGGTGATTTTGTTGTAGTGGAGTTACTAGAACTAGAAGTTGCAAAAGGCCATTATTGAGGGCCTGAGGCTGGGATGATACATAGCTATTGGATTTATGACCAGCCTTGGATTGGGCTTCGTCATAATTTGGTGGGAGGTGGGGGCGGTCGGAGATCGTGGAATAAAAATGAACTGAGTTTTTTTTTATTTTATTGTCCATGGATCAGCCCAGTCAAAACTAGTGCATCCCTTATTTCTTCCATTAGCGTGTTGTTTCTTACACGTTCCACCAGATGAGACACCTTTATTACCGTATGTAAGTCCACAGTGTCGTTTGGGTGTAGCCAGACACAGATCTCCTCCTTTAATCCATTTAGCTGCTTCTGTTGATGCCAACCCATCCAATGAAGTCCTTGTCTTTCCAATGATGTGCCCTTCAAGTAATGTAGTAACCACTTGACTGCTTCCCAATACTCCTTGGATTTGACATAAATCTGTTGACTACTCCCCACTGCATGAGCAGTGTGGCCTTGTGCATACCATAACATACATCAAATTGCCAACTGCTGATGCATAAGGAACCTTTTCCATTTCTTCCTTGTCTATATCTGTTTCAGGTGATTGCTTCTTAGTAAGTTTATAATGACTTTCCAAGGGTGTACTTCTGACTTTAGCATCTTTTAGATTGAACTTCTCTAGCACCTTTCTAATGTATTTTTCTTGAGATAATTTGAAGGTACCTCCTGCTCTATCTCTTGTGATGCTCATACCAAGAATCTGCTTCGCAGCTCCTAAGTCTTTCATCTCAAATTCTTGAGATAACTGTTTCTTCAGCTTGTTGATTTCTCTCATGTCTGGTCCCGCAATCAACATATAACAACAAGAGGATTTGATTTTCTTCAAGTAGCAGCAATGATCCATAAGACATTTCGTATATCCACTCCTTTTCGTAAAGTGGTCAAACTTCATGTACCACTATCTTGGTGCTTGCTTCAACCGGTACAGACTTTTCTTTAGTTTGCAAACCAAGTTTTCTTTCCTTGCTATCTCCAAACCCTCTGGTTGCATCATGTAAATATTTTCACTAAGATCTCCATGTAGAAAGCTGTCTTGACATCCAGTTGCTCTAAATGCAAGTCTTCAGCGGCCACGATACTCAAGAATGATCTGATCATGGTCATCTTCACAACTAGTGAGAAGATCTCATTATATTCCACTCCTTTCTTTTGTTGGAAGCCTTTGACAATCAATCGACCCTTGTATCTCTTGTTACCGTCAATCTCATCTTTGACCCTGAATACCCATTTATTCTGCAAAGCTTTCTTTCCTGCTGGTAATCGGACCAATTTCCAAGTCCAATTCGTTTCAAGTGAGCTCATTTCTTCATTCATAGCTTGCTCCCACTGTACATGTTCTTTCATCTTCAAAGCTTCTGAATAATATTCTGGTTCACCATTATCGGTCAATAGCAAATAATTTGCTTAGGGGGAGAATCTATGAGGACGTGTAGTAACTCTGGTGGATCTTCTAACCCATGTTATTGAGTTCCACTGTCAATAGTCTCAGTATCTGAACTCTTAATATCCTCTGTGTTCCCACTGTTTCCAGATCTCCCATCCTTATCTGAGCTCCAACTATTTTTTGAACTCTGACCAATTTCTGAAGTACTGAAGGTTTCACAATGTCTTCTTTTGAGATAAGATCAAACGCCACTTGATCCTTTCTTTCTGGCATCTTGCTTTGGCTGGGGTTGTTGCCAGATCATCTTTGTACAGAGCATTCTCAGAATCTCATTTAATGTCACATCTTTGCTTCTAATAACCTTTTTGCTGTGATCATCTCATAAGCAGTAACCCATGTCATCCAAACCGTAGCCTATACAGACACACTTTTTTGCCTTTGCCTTGAGCTTGTCCCCACAACCAAATACTTTCAAGTTTCAAATGAGTAAGTGATACCTCTCGACCTCGCCATTCTTCTTCACGAATTTTGACCCCTATGGGAACTGAGGGTCCACGATGGATTAAGTATGCTGGCGTGTTGACGGAATCTGCCCAGAACATCTTTGGCTGGCAGTCCTGCGTGTAGCCTCATGCTCTTTGCTCTCACAAAGGGTTCTGTTCATCCTTTCAGAAACCCCATTTTGCTGAGGTGTTTCTGAAACTGTTTTCAGCATTCTGATTCCATTCTCGGCATAATAATCAACACAATCTCTGCTGCTATACTCACCCCCATTATATGACTTCAAAAACTTGACTTTTACACCAATTTCATTTTCAACAGCAGTTTCCCACCTTTTAAAGGTAACAAATACATCGGATTTGTTCTTTATAAAATAAACCCATACCTTTCTGATGGACTATAGCGCGCTATTAACATCACTGCTATAGACCTTGCCTTCTCAAAGCCTTATGGTTAAGCTTCAAATTGTATGATCTTATTATTAAAGTTAAACCCCCTTTTAAACTATTTGCAATTGTCTTGGCAAACAAGTAAATAGAGTCCTTAATCTATTGCAGCATTTTCAATAAGGATATTAACTAAAACAAAATACCAATACTAACATGTAACTATTAGTAATAGTAGGAATCTGATGTTAATACTATTATCACTACTACCTCCGTTCGATTGAATTGAAACACATAAATATTACCACATATGGTAATATATGTGGGGAAGAGGAAGTAATATGTACTCCGTATAATATATCATATTAGACATGTATCACTTACCATGCTAACATGATCACCAATTTGCTCCATAAATTCTCTGATTAGCTTTCCGTGTTTGCTTTTAGCGTATGACCAAAATTCTGCCATAGGCTGGCATTCTTCAGAAATTCCCTGTGGTAGTTGGCACATAAACAACACATCGTAGTAGTTGTAAGATATGCTACATAATATATCTCTTTATGTCTACTTTATGTCGTATATTGATCTTCACTATTTAGTAGTTCATTCCACCACCTTCGTTTTCCGTTTAGATAATGCTCATGTCAAGTGCCTTATTTCCAGCTTTCTGATAGTTAATTATAATCATGTATGAACTATAAAATGGGTTTTTGTTTCATTTTCTGGACAAGCCTTTCATTTATCACGACTTTAGCTTATGATTTTATTTATTTATTTAACTACTTGGAAACATAGGATATAAGGTTGAGAGATGAAGCTAATCAAGGAAATGTGTCCAAACAACACAGGAAACAAGCTGAATTGCAATCCCATATTTCCTACCGCTTCCGTTATTCATTAAGGGTAACAATTTAAGTTTGTATTAGCAACACAATAGAGATACAGAGTACTTAGTTGTGCTTCCCTAGTGTATCTAATAATCTAAATGACTCTAACTTCATTCTTCTCAGGCATATACATCAATTTTGTACCTCAAAAAGTTTAAAAATTTTAGCATCTTATTAAGAGGCAAGGCTGTGGAGCAGTATAGCATTGGTGGTGATTTACAACACTCAAAAGTAATATCCTACAAGCCACAACTTGATGTGACATCAAAAGAGGTATATATATCATCCTTTAATCATATTGCATATCTCTGTTAATGAGTAATAATAGTGATTTTCAATTATATTGTTTTTATACTATTATGAGTTCTCAACTCATCCAATGATGGAACGTTTTAGCACACCTTACATATTAAGTTATAACTATTGGCTTTAAATGCTCTCCTTTCCTGGTAGGTGACTGTAGAAACTACTATTGGCTTCATTAAAGAAGCACCGAACCTTCCAGTGTCTGGATTTAATGTTTATCACAAAAATCGTCTAATCAGGGTATGCTTACGGTCGTTATACAAAAAGTTTATCATGAAAGTCTAGAACTTGGTTAACCGGTAAGAAAGATGTGGTATCTTCTTTTAATTTGCACAATTTAATGGATTCAGCCCTTCTGGAAGGTCACTGCAGATGGTCATTCAAGAGGATCAGGTGTTGTTGGTATGGCAATGAATTTACCTCCCCTACGACATACATGACATAATCTACAGTTTAAGGTTTCTCCTTTGTGTAATTACTTATTTGCAAAATCTCCAGGAGTCCTGGAAGCAAATTTTATAGAGCCTGCACATGACAAGCAGGATTTTGAGAGATCTTCAATTTTTTACAGATTGGAAATGAGGCTGAAGAATATGATAATGGAATACTGGTAAGTAATTTTGCTAGGTCTATACACTCAATTTACCATAAATAGTCCATGTCTCTAGATTGCTTTAAAAAAAGTGTCACATATCCTACTATTATGCAAGTGAAATTGGAAACCTTTCTCCCTTGCTTGCTAGTAATTGAGTTTTCCTCCGCCGGTCTATCGACCCACCCTCTTCACCTAGGCGTCGTCTTCCTGTTGCTTTGCTTAGCAGGATAGAAAGTCAACTAACAATTGCAATAAAGCATTTCAACTCCCATTTTTTTGTAACTCGGTCCAACTATTCAGCTTTGAAAGGCAATGCAATTATCCATTAAACTTGCCAAGTAGGAGAATGATAGAGCAGAGACAGAAACCAAGAGTAAACCTCAATAGCAGATACTCTGTTCTTTGTTCCGGAAATAACGAAGTACAACAATAGACAAGGTATACCTAAATGGCAACCTCCAAGCATGATGTCTTCTCTAATCAATTATATATAAATGAAGTTTATAAATGATTGATCTCTCCAACTGTGCTGCTTCTTAAATTACGCTTCATCACCGATTGCTCTTTTGATTGTTTTCCATAATTGGTTGGTTGCCTTTCCATTGTCTTACCAATATTCTGCCCAATGCAAGTGCTTATCTGTTACGGGCAGCTTGTTTGCAAGATCTCGTCACAGGCCTTCGGGTGAGTGGGAGGGTAGACTGAGCTTTGGAAGGGTTGGCTATGCTTACTGTTTGGCAGAAAACTAGGAAGAATATAATGATGCAAACTTTTATGACAACTTGGATTTTTTTATTGAGAATTCCACAATCTCCCTTAGACTTTCCTTGATGAAAACTTGCATCCCTTTTTCCTGCATTCAACTGGCCTTTAAATAGGCTTTAAAGAGTTTGGAAAGTAAAATAAGGAAAAGAACTAAAAAGAAAACAATAATTCAAAGATGGGGTTTTGTCAAAAAATAATACTAAAATAAATGCTTTGGACAAAAATAGGACTACTTTCAAAAAATTCCAAAAATGAGACTAAACTAGTACCACTTACTGTGACCAATCCGACCAGTTACCAATCTGCAATGACCAAACCAATCAATGACCAACCCGACCAGTGACTATGACCAAACGCACCAATGACCAATCCGGCCAATGACCAACCCGAACCAAGGTAGTCAAAAGCGAGCGCTTGGGCGCTTAAGTGCACATGAGGCTCAACGACTGAAGAATGGCCAGGCATAGCTCCCTGTCTAAAGCGCAGTTTAGGTGCAGAACCGCTGAAGCGCCGAAGTTGAGAAAAGCGCACTCTTAAGTCGTCTTGGCTGGAAAAGGCTTATCAGCCTATTTTTTGTTTGATCCTACTTTAAATAATAAGCCCATATCAAATCCTTCTTAGTCGTGGGAAATGTCTTCTATCTTGAGTCTTGACTTCATCGTTACTCGCCTATGCTGCTATGTGCTCTACTTGCGCAACATGCTCATCGCTAAAACACATTAAACGAACCCACAGAAGACAGAAACCCATAAGGTGTCTTCTTTCATCATCATCTTCCCATGTTCGTTTTTCTTTCTTTTTCAGCTTGAAGTTTTCATTTATTATGTCATCTTCTTGGTGATCCTTTCATTTTGTTCTTTCAGTCTATCTTCTTCTAAACGTTTATCAGTTCCAGTCATCTATGCATACTTTATAATTCTTTTTGCTTCTAATATATTCTATACCACTCAAACATATTATATGTACCTGATTACCAGTTTACATTATGTGTACTCCATATTGTTTCATCTTATTATACAATCTATAACTCTATATCTTCCTATTATCATTTCATATTTTAACTGTATAAAAATTTCGTATAATCTAACTCACTTAATAGTTTCATACACTATAATTATGCTATTCCTATTGCTAAAATTGCAAAATCAACAAAGACAGACCCCCACTTGTGTTTTTTGTGAACCATGACTTTATTTTGGTGAATCATGAATTTATTTTTTAGAAACATGACTTTTGATGCATTTAGTTCAATATACATAATATTTTCTAAATAGTGCGCCAGACCCGAGTCAGGTGATCGCTTTTTTGCGCCTTTTGCGCCTCAGGCGATACAAGTACTCTAGCGCCTTAAGTGCGCCTCGCAACTTTGACTACCTTGACCCGATCAATGACCAACCCGACCAATGACCAATTACCGATCAGTGACCATGACCAACCCGACATTGAACAATTACCGATCAGTGATCATGACCAATCTGACCAGTGACCAACCCGACTAGTGATCAACCCACCCAGCCCCAACCCGTTCAATGACCACCACAACTTCGATAGTGACCACCGCTCCGGCAAGACCGTCGCCGCCTTGGTAGTGACCACCACAACTACCACCGCTTGGTCCGCCCCAGTAATTTTGACTCATCACTCCCCCTCCACTCCCCACCATTTGGACAGCCTTGCCCACTCGCCCAGCCCTACCCCGAGCCTCCCAAACCTCCCCTTCCAGTCGCCGCCCAACTCACCCCACAAGCCGCCGCCCAACCTTTAACGCCCTGCCGCCCCATTGTCCCGCCATCCGCCTGAAACCCTAGCCACTGTTGATTCAAACCGGCGAAGCACTGATCTAGATCCCAAATCGGTAAAGAATAACCCGTCCACCGTCACAAATCTAGAGAAATAGAAGAAGATGGCGGTCGACGACAGAGGACAGGGGCGGCAGGCTGTGATGCGCAGGGCGGAGGCGGACACAAGGTGTCCTTTCGCGGAAGAAAGTGATAGGACTCCGGCAGATTAGCACTGATAATAATAAATGAGAGTAATAATAATATTGTAATAGTTAGTATAAATAGTGGGTGAGGATAGAATAGAAATGATGTTGGAATTATCATTTGGGCTTGGGACTTGGAGAGTGGGCACTTTTAAACTGCCTTTGTATTTCTCTTCTATTTTCTGTAATACGACCCCTTTCAGTTGTACGCACATCTCTGTTCTTCATCTTGTTTCTTGAAATTCATTGTAAATTAGCTAGTTACTTAACATTGGTATCAGAGCATCGTTCTTGCACCTATTCATGGAGGAAAGCGAGTCTGAAACGATGGAAAGTAGACTGGAGATCCTGGAGCGCAATTTTGAACGTTATCGCTAGGAGATGTGGAACCATCGCTAGGAGATGCGGAACCATCGCCAGGAGATACTACGGAACCATCGCGAGGAAGTGCGGAAAGATTTCGCTGAGTTGCGCAAAATGATACTACAGGGGAACACTCGACACGAGCGAGGAGGATCGTTGATCATAAAGCGCTGTCGGAACTCGAAAAGAAAGAGCAATTCGCAAACAGTTCTTCAGCGTTTGCATAATTCGTCGAGTTCGCAGAGTTTGTCGCTACCTGATTCGCTGAGTTCGCAAACTTTGTCTCAGGCGATAACTATAACTGTTTCATTGACGACACCAAATCTTGAGTGGAAGCTGGCTGAACCCTCAGTTCCGGAATCGGATTCAGACGAGGATACTAATCAGTCTACGGGATACTCACCAGATGATATGGAAAAGTCCAAACCTCTGAAATCTAATATTCCTTACAAGAAAATTGTACCTACCATACCGATCCTGTCTTGGAACTGAACAACATTACCACAAGGGCTTATGAGGGGGACCTGTATCACCCGCCTATCCTTATCTATGAGGGTCAGAGGTATGCTCTTGTACTAGAACGAAACCTAGAATATTTTAAATCTTTGTTGGGTAGAGTTCAAGAACGCGAGTTGGGTGTTATAGGGAATATTGTGCACCTTCATTCATCAATTATGTTATCATAACTTGTGGTGATATGTCCATTCATGATCTTCTCTCGGATAAAATGACAATCAACTTCAATATTCTTCGTCCTCTCATGATATATCATATTTGATAAAATGTGCATTACGGCTTGTGTTGAACCTATTTTGTGTTTCCTTATTTTAACTAGGAGGAGATGTTTCCACCATAAGATTTCAAATGTAGCAAGAGCCATTGCATGATATTTTACTTCAGCACTAGATCTAGCAACCACTTCCTATTTCTTAGTTTCCATGAAATTAAATTTCCACCGATCAAGACACAATAACCCGAAGTGGATCATCTATCAATAGGACATCCGGTCTGGTCTGCATCACAATATCCCACAGTATCATGGTGACCTTGATACTCAGAACTTGGATAGCTGCATCCCAATGTCCATTACGTGGCTTATCAAGAAACTGAGTAAAGACACTTACCGCAAATGAATTATCTAGTCTCTTGATGGTAAGGTAATTCAATTTGCCAATGAGTCTTGTATATTTTTCCATGTTGGGCAAAAGATCCCCTATTCTGACAAGAGTTTGACGTTCGGATCCATTGGTGTATCCACTAGCCTACACTCTAGCATACATGTTTCCTCAAGAATGTCCAAGGCATACTTTCTTTTTGAGAGGGAAATTCCAGTTTGAGACTGCGCGACCTCAATGTCAAGGAAATATATCAACTTTCCCAAGTCTTTAGTTTGGAATTCGCTAAAAAGATATTGCTTGAAAAGTGCAATTCCTTATTAATCACTACCTGTAAGGACAATGTCATCAACATACACAACAAGAGAAATACATGTATTGCCTACGGAATGCGTGTAGAATATAGAATGATCGACATCACTGCAAACCATGCCAAAACTGTGGATGACGACACTAAATCTCCCGAACTGTGCATGTGGAGGTTGCTTCAAACCATATAACGAACGACGTAATCTGCATACCAAACCAGACTCCCCCCGAGCAACAAATCCAGGTGGTTGCTCCATATAAACCTCATGCTGATCATCATGAAGAAATGCATTTTTAATATTCATTTGGAACAATGACCAGTGGCTCATTACTACCATAAATAAAATCAAACAAACCGATGCAATCTTTGCTACATGAGAAAAAGTGTCGGTGTAATCCAATCCATAGATTTGAGTATACCCTTTCTCCACAAAGCCTTGAAACGATCAATTTTCTCATCATGACCAACTTTAAGCAAC